AAAAATAGCCAGGCATTGTGGCAGGTGCCTGTGGTCCCAGCTACTTGGGAGGCTGAGGCAGGAGACTTGCTTGAGCCCAGGAGTTGGAGGTTGCTATGAGCTGTGAAGCCACGGCACTCTACCCAGGAGGATAGCTTGAGGCTCTGTCTCAAAAAAAAAAGTGAGCAGAGGCTGGCACACTTGGGGCCTTGTAAGATGTCTTGATAGGGAGTTAGAGTGTGACTCTAGGAGTAATAGGAGGCCAGTGGTGCTGTTTAGGAACACTAGTTGATCTAGTTTTCATTTTTAACAGTATTGCTCTGACTACTGGGTGAATCATGGGTAGAGGGAGACTGGGAAAGGAGATGCCAGGAGAAAAGTTCGGTATTACTTTGGAAAGAAAGAGATTATTGTCTTTATTTTATTTATTTATTTATTTATTTATTTATTTGTAGAGACAGAGTCTCACTTTACCACCCTTGGTAGAGTGAACTGTGAACTGTGGTAGAGTGCTGTGGCGTCACAGCTCACAGCAACCTCCAACTCCTGGGCCCAGGCAATTCTCTTGCCCTAGCCTCCCAAGTAGCTATGGAAAGAAAGAGATTCTTTTTTTTTTTTGAGGCAGAGCCTCAAAAAAATGCTATTTTTTTTGGTTGCAGCCATCATTGTTGTTTGTTGGCCTGAGCTGGATTCGAACCTGCCACCTTAGGCATATGTGGCTGGCGCTTTAGCCACTTGAGTCACAGGCTCTGAGCCAAGAGATTCTTTAAGAAAAGAAGGAAGACAACGTAGACTGGGGTATTTTCACAGTGGATGGGACTCACTCCAGGAGTTCTGGTGCCAGAGAACCAAGAAGAGTTAGAAATTTGCCAAGCAGCAATGAATGTTGAGCCAATGGTAATATTAGTTTGTGCTGGACCAAGATAGTGGGATATCGGTGATTTTCCAGCATTATGTTTGCTGCCCAGTAGAAGGAGCAAGAAAAATAGAATGATAATAATTTAGAATTGGAGATGGACCAGAGAACTTCTATTGCCACAAGGGTATTTTGGGAAAAAAAAACAAAAAAAACAAGGGTACTTTGGAGGGAAAAATGAAAGCAGGAAAAAAGAACAGACTGACTGAACTTGGAGAGAGAAAATTGCCTACAGGGCTTGGTGAAGAAATGGAAACACAGCTTGGTGCCTGTAGCTCAGTGTCACTAACAGAGTGCCGGCCACATACACTGAGGCTGGCTGGTTCCAGCCCAGCCCAGGCCTCCTAAACAACGACAACTGCAACCAAAAAATAGCCAGGCATTGTGGTAGGTGCCTGTAGTCCCAACTACTTGAGAGGCTGAGGGAAGAGAACTTAAGCCCAAGAGTTTGAGGTTGCCAATGGTGCTGTGAGCTGTGAGGCCACGGCACTCTGTTGGAGGGCAATATAGTGAGACTGTCTCAAAAAAAAAAAAAAAAAAAGACATGGAAACAGATCAACAGATATGGTAAAATGGATGAGATGGTTGAACAACTCCTTTTAAAACTAAAATATATACCTGCATACCTGTAATCCTAGCACTCTGGGAGGCCAAATTGGGTGGATTGCTTGAGCTCAGGAGTTCAAGACCAGCCTGAGCAAGAGAAAGACCCCATCTCTATTAAAAATAGAAAAACTTGGCTCGGCGCCTGTGGCTCAAGCGGCTAAGGCACCAGCCACATACACTTAAGGTGGAGGGTTCAAATCCAGCCCGGGCCCGCCAAACAACAATGA